TTTACTGTTCAGTACAATGAAAACATGATGAAACAAAGTATTTTTTGACCAAGTTTTGTATTGAAAGATGCTGTTAGAAGATGTGATGCACAGCTCTCTGTGCAAAATCTGGCAGGGCAAAACTTCAGGTAACTGAAAACCTCTATGTTTGTGCAGTCATAGTCAAAGAAAGATAAAAACAAACATCACATTTTCTTCTATAAGAGAAAAAAATTCCAAGACTCTTGATATCTGGACACATGGAGCAGTAGTGTGGGCAAAAACAAAGTTTAATTTGAGTAGGATTATTTTAAGGCAGAATTCTGGAATATAATGGAATGGCTTAAACATAATTTCTGCACATATAAATCATAAATAAAAATTACAAAGATTCCTTCTAAAAAATACCTCTTCTATGCCTAGATAGAACAGTCACGTTCAAAAGCAAATGACTGAAAAAAATTGGATGTAATAACAAATGTGACTGCTAGTGATACTTATGATGTAGTTAATAACATACCTGAAAATAGTAAATAATGTCTGCACACTCAGAAATGAAATTATCTTGAAAGCTTCACTGCCTTGGTTATCTTACAGTAAGTCATGGAAAATACTGGAATTATGGCAGTAGTTATTAATTTATAGGGATATCTTTTGTTTCAGTACATGAAATGAATGGATATCAATATTCTTCTCTTAGTGCACTTCACTTGTAAAGCATGTTATATCACAAGCTTTTACCTCATATAAGACTACACCCAAGCTTTTTTTTTCTATACTTCTACACAGCAAGTTCTCCACGTATTTTATTTATTTATATCTTCCCTTAAATACTCCTTGCTTCAGTATCTTTCATTTAAAAACAAAATAAAAATGTACTGGCCCATGTCTGGGAGATCCTTGGGTCTAATAAAGTTTATTAGCTTTTCCCTGATGAATTTTGTAGGCTCCACTTCTTCCACTGAGATGGGCTTACATGGATCAATTAAGTGCAGTCATTCCCTAAGTGGAAAATCAAATTAAATACCAGCCTGGAAAATAGAATGGTTAAACTGTGGCACTGTGGTGTGAGACTGGAACGAGTCTGTGAGGAGGGCAGTCATCCTTGGAAGATGCTGCTTTCCAGTTTTGCTTTTCTTTCTTGTCTACTTAATCTGAGGCCAAAAATACTGACAGCTCTTGATGCTTCGACATTGCGTTGCTGCTGTGGATAGAGCTGACTCGATAATACTGAGGGCAAAGCCTAATTACAACTTACCTCCTTCCACAGAGAAGTACTTGGAGCATTTTGTTGAAACCTGCTGGGAAGAGCAGTCTCTCTTGGCAGTGACCCAGGAAATCACTTAGTGCAAAAGAAATTCTCATTTTGTTTTCCTGTCCTCTGTGAACAATGGGCTGGACCCAACAGTGGGACTTCTGACTTAACATGCTGGTTTACACATGGAGTCCTGAAAACATTTTCTGTGCATTTAGGGAAACAAGCCACTCAGTAAAACTCTCAATTTGTATACTCACAGAGAAATCAACTGAATATAATCCTATCTTACGTATTTAATTTTTTTATTTATTATTATTTTTAATTGATTCAGAGACTTTTTCTCAGTTAAGTAAGTAGCTGTTAAATATTTGGGAAATGTTCTGATATTTTACCACATCATATTTAAAAGTCCATGTGAATAAATGCTTAAAGAAGAGAGAGAAATAAGCAAACTATACCAAGCCTTGTGCATTGGAAAACATTGCAAATCTTCCAAAAAATTCATAAAATTTTTTTGACTCCTACAATCCTCCTGGATCTTCTTAGTCTCTGTTTTGTATATAAATTAAGTTTGGAGCTGTAAGTGTGGGTAAGGCCTTAGGGCTTGTTGGACTCCAGCTGAGATGCCTAAGGCTCTGTGTCAAGGCACAGAGATTCTGAGATATTATGCACTGATTAGAAAGTAAAGTTTTAATATGAGGCTTGGAGTTCAACAGTTCTTTCATTTAGTTTGACATCCTCCTTGTTTACCTTTCACATACCGTACCACAGCTTTTGCTGAAGTTTCTCTCTTTACTCAGTAAAAATAAATCTAGGAGAGGAAAAATAAAAGCCTCATATTGTTCATAAATGCCAGGTTTGCAATAAATGATGACGCAATTAATGCTATTTGGATGATAGAGCTTCAGAAATCAGTGGGTATCACTGGAGAAATCACCATGCATTCACAAAAGGAAAATCTAATGTTCTCTCTAGATTTCTCCGCATTACCCATTTTTAGGGCATAAAATGAATAGTGCTTCTCTATTAGAAGAAATGAGTGAGTTCTCATTCAAAAAAGGAATCCACCAGCAATGTGGAAATTGGGAACTGTTTGTTTGCCCATCTGGTTTTTACACCTTTTTAATACTCAGGTATATACGACATATAAACGAGTCTGTTTTAGCTTACATATTGTCCAGAATATTGAGCTTTTATCACAAGTTTGCTCATAGTTTGGAGTTATTTATAGTTTGGAAACAGCTTCTGAAAAGCTGCTGTTCAAAAAAAAAAAGAGATGCAGAGACACTGAAGTGCAGCTCCTCCTGAAGTTTCCATATTGTCACCAGTGATCTGTGGTGTCTGGCACTGTGGCCTCGACTGCAGGTTAAATGAAGGAGTTGAGTTATTGGCCATAAATATGTCAGTGATTCGGGATGTCTGATTTTCTGGGCTAAGCATAAAGCCATTGTAGACTGGCACTTGTTTCCTAAAGCTTTTCAGAGGAAAATACTGGAGAAAATAGGTACCTAGAGTCTTTAGAGGCCTGGTCCAAAAATGTGAGGCTCTCAATTAATTTTAAAAATACCCAAATCAACCTCATGCCATAGTGTTATTTAAGTAATAATTTCATATCAAATTATCCTGTAGAGGTTATATTCTACATGCTGGAAGCAGAAATGTTCTCTGTTGCTGAAGAATATTTTCACTTAGCAGTGAATGGTTACTCAAAATTAAGAAGACAAGATGACTGAATAATGCATAAGATCTGTGACACAAACAAGAATATAATTTGTTTTTTCCAGGACCCTGGTCTGATGCTTTATCCATAAGAGTATCTCTTCTTGTCAAGATTATTTCTCTAAAAATGGAACAGTAGAACTAGAGAAGATAGAAGGGAAATCAACAGAGTTATGGAATCATTTCTGTATGAAGAAAAATTTTATAGACAAGGACTCTTCAGACTGAGAGAGCATTGAAGGGGGGAATATGACAGAAGACTGTAAAATCAAGACAGCAATGAAGAAAATGAAGGATATTTCTCATAAAAAAGGAGGGAATGATTGTTAAGTGGAACAAAAGAGATGCTTATTCACATAATGTGTAGATAAGGAGTGAATCACATTTCCATAGGATATTGTGGCATTAGACTGGTTCTAAAACTATCACAAACACTGATGAAATAAAAAGCAAGCAAGGGTTATGAAATATAACTATTTTAAGCACAAATACATTATTAAGATTACATACTGATATTTAATATTTGATCTATCTCAGAAGAATTCATAAAGCTTAGAAAACTGGAAGCTGCCAGAGAATCCAGCGGAATTTGACTACTCTGTCCTTCAAAGCTTCTCCAGACATCTTTTGCTGGCCACCCTCAAGACATGTGGTACTGGACAGAACTTTGGAACTCACTTTTAATAAGAATGATTATCTAGGGTGCTGCTGACCCATTAAACAAGTAACTAGAATGAGAAAATTAAATGTTTATATCTAAATGTCTGAAACTAAATATTGCACATAAAGCAATTATTATATTAATAATCTTACTCTGTAAGATATGACAAGGATATAAATGATGAGTATATAAGGCTACTAGAGTGCACCCAGTGGAAGGCCACAGAGATGGTGAAGATTCTGGAAAGGAAGCCATATGAGGAGCAGCTGAGGGCGCTTGGTCTGTTCAGCCTGGAGAAGAGGAGATTGAGGGGAGACCTCACTGTAGTTACAATTTCCTTGGGAGGGGAAAAGGAGGGGGCAGGCACTATAGCTTTGCAGAGGCTGCTGAGCTCTGCATCTCAGGAAGTCTTCCATCATCCCCACATCACCATTGGCGAATCAGAACTCAAATCAGTCCAACAGTTTAATTACCTAGGCAGCCTCATCTCCTCGGACGGTAAGATTGACGGGGAGATAGACAACAGGTTAGCAAAGGCATATAGTGCTTTCAGAAAGCTTCATAAAAGAGTTTGGCGAAATAAACACCTGAAGAAAAGTAGAAAGATCAGTGTTTACAGAGCCATAGTGCTGTCTACTCTCTTATATGGATCTGAATCATGGGTCATCTACTGCCACCACCTGCGTCTCCTAGAGCGCTTCCATCAACGCTGCCTCCGCACAATCCTAAACATCCACTGGTCAGATTATGTGACCAATACATCTGTTCTTGAACAGGCAGCAGTCACAAGTATTGAGGCCATGTTACTGAGAACACAGCTGCATTGGGCAGGGCACGTCTCCAGGATGAAGGACCACCGCCTCCCTAAGATCCTGCTTTACGGTGAACTTGCCACTGGCTGCCGCAAGAGAGGAGCCCCAAAGAGAAGATACAAGGACTCCCTGAAACAACATCTCAGCCTTGGCCATATTGATCAACATAACTGGTCTACTCTGGCCTCCAATCGGGAGGCCTGGAGACACACTATCTTCAATGCTGCTGATGCTTTTGAGAAAGCACACAGGATCACCCTTGAGGAGAAAAGACAACGCAGAAAGAACCGTGTCTTGCAGAATATACCATCTAAGGAGTCTTTCTGCTGTGCCTTTTGCAACCGGATGTGCCTGTCTTGTACTGGCTTTTTAAGCCACCAACACGCTGGTAAATGTGAGTAGAGCCCTCCCCAAATCTTTGTTCGCAAAGCCTAGCCATGACATGACATGACAGAGTTTGTGAAGTATAAATTTCTTGCTATTAAATAAATTTCACTATTAGGGAACTTTTCTTGCAGACCAAGTCATACATCCCAATTTGGAGAAGAGGCAAACAGACTAAAGTGAGCACCAGTATGGTAAACTTAAGACACTGGGGTTTCCAGCACGCCATCCCCAATTCCCTCTTTCTGTGCCAATTGTACAAGGCTCCAAGAGATGAGCACGAAGGACAACCTTCATCTGCAGTACAGAAATATAGTCACCAGAAGAAAGGCACAGCTATATTGCCATTCAATGATTTTGTAAATCTATATCAAAATAACCTAGCTACTATATCCAGTCAACATTAAAGCAAGGAATTCTCATGTTTGCTCCAGAAAGAGACTGAAGTTCATATGGGACAAACGTTGCATAGTTTTCACTTCTTGTCTCCTTTACACTTTTTGGTCACCTCATCTGTCAAATCCAACACATTTCTGATAACTGCTTAAACCTTTCTGAAATTTGCCCAGGTTGAAGTCATTACTGCATTTAGTGCTATATATAATTTATTCAGTTTTTCTTAAGATGTCACTGAAATAAAATTATGCAATCTTAACTGAAAACTGATGCATCTAAGCAGCATTTCATGAAGTAGGTTGTGTCCCTACCTGTGTATGGGATACCAGTTCAGGAATTACTTTGCAGTTACTATGCAGTAACAGCAAAAGAAAGAAAGTAAAAGTTGAACTGCCATCAAACCCATTAAAAAGCAGGTAAGACTGTTTATATATTAAAAATAATTTACTTTCCCAAAATAAGGTACAATTAGAAGCAGTTCACACTATTTTAAACACAGAGCTGGAAAGTGTTTGAAGAAAAACTATTAAGTCTGAATCAGATTGCACTGAAACAATATGCTGAACTGCTTTAAAATTCTCCCTTGGAGCAATACTGCTTTAAACCATGAATTTTTATTCAGTATGTGCACTCAGTACATGCCTATTTAGTCACTGCAGCTATCATTCCAGGCTTATGTATTGATATGCCATAGATATTTGAAAACCCTTTGTGTGGATTGTTACTCAAATCTTTGTTTTCTAAAAGTTATTTAAATTTTCATTATTTTTAAGAAAAATATCCATAGAATTATATCAGCTGTTCTGCCAGGAACTAATTTTTTAATTGTTCCTTCCAAATATAGTTTAAGGGAGAAAGCTCTGGTGTTTTGTGACATTATGTTTTTTGTTTTACTTCTGACAACTTTGTTGGAACTATAAGGCTTTGTTCTTTAGAATACTTAAAGCTTGCAGTCTGGTAGGTTTTGCTTAGCTCAAAATACCTATCCTTTTTTGAAGCAGGTTTTCAGGGAATAAAGCTACAGAAATGATGAACAAGATGTTTCTTATTAGTGGTCCTAAAACAAATAGGAAAACATTCTCTAAAAGCCTGACTGTACATATGAAATAAACCTGGCCATAGATAAGAATGGGTTTGAGCTGTAATATCGATATCTGTTGTATGAATCTAGGTAGTCCTGTATCCTGTCTTGGAGAATGATCAAATAGGCTGCCTGGGGACCAAAGCAGGCACACAGTGATATGTCTCAGAACGGTCTCCCAGTCTCCACCATTTTGCTGCTCAGGGACTGTCTGACCCAGGGATGTCTGTAAGTAAGTGTACAATTAATAATTCATTGTGCTCTTCCACTTTTCGTGAACTTGTTCTCTTCTCCCTTGGCATTGTGTAGCTTTTTAGCATCCACCACATTGTCCCTTCCCTCACCACTCACTCTTTTCAAAGGTATGTCTGTTGGTCTTAACTCTCAGTACAAAACAAATATGAACATATATACCAAATACCTTAAATATTATTGACTGTAACTTTTGTGTTGAAGAACACAGGACATTTCAGGACAATAGTCTTAATCATTGCTCTCAAAGTTCGCTTTCCATCATCACTTTTCATATATATCCTCTGAATTATTAATCTACTAAGCAGTGCTTATTTTTATATGGTTTGGTTTCAAGAAAAAAAACTTGGGTGAGGGAACTGCATGGAAAAAGTTTGTACTTGGTGATGTTAAATGCCTCGATAGCTCTTAGAAAGTTAAAAAGTAAGAAAATAACAAATCAAGAAGAAACCAATCAACCTCCTTTCTCCAAATATGTTTCTCTCCTCCCTCTGGGAAGTTGTGTGGTTTCAGCAAGAGAACCAAGACGAGCATCTGAAATGAAGTGCAATATATCACTTTCAGGTCTGGTTTGAGAGGTTGTCAAGACCCATCACTGAAATATCGTTCAGCTCATCAGAACATTTATTTGACAGAAACAGGACTTTTTGTACAAAGCTTTTAGAGCTTAAATATTGCCAGCAGCTAAATGCTTTTATCTGAGGTTTAAAAGGAAGAGCAGGAGAAAGCTGAGAGAAAAAGTCTTGGATAAAGCAGCCTCATTATCTTGTAGGTTTAATTTAAAGGTTGTACCTCCAATACTGTTTGCAATATTCTAGGACTATTAAATGCATGTTTGCTGAGAAAATTTGGTAATAATTCTTCTATGTGTTTTTTTCCTGTGTAAAGGATTTTACAGACACCAGGATTGGATTTTACTTGTTGGTTTATTACTGATGTTTCTTATGGTCGTAAGGTGACCAAAATCTAGCTTACACTTAAAAAAAAAAGAAAAAAAAAGAAAAAAAGAAAAAAGGTAGGATTTTGACAAAGTAGATTATAATGCACATTGAATTCTAGGTAATATTGAATACCTATATCCTCCCCACACAAGCATTATTATGTCTAAAAGTATTAAAATTCTAGTCTTTATATTGTGGAAAAATATATCATAATAAATAGTTACACACTGGCATTTTGAATGGCAACCCATATCTGAGTTCCAAGCAAGTTTCATTTAAAAAATGTTTTTTAAGCCACAGCGACAGCAAGTGTCTTTTTTTTCTCATACATTCCAAAAACGAAGCTTAGCAAGTTGGGGTTTTAGATAGATGAGAAGGGAGAATATTTCACTTCTACCCACAAGATTCGTACCTCAGCATTGCAGATCTCCAAGATTTTTTATAAATCTAAGTATGTATATGTATGAGAATACAAAGCTGAAGAAAATGAAAGATAGCAGGAAAGATGTACCTAGTTTTTCACCCCTGATTAGCTTCTTTTCTAGAATACAGGATGGAAAAAACCCTTCCTTTGGGGCTTAGGAAACAAATGATTATCTAACTTTTGATAAACAAAAGAGAGGTTTTAAACCTCAAATTTTCAAGGTTTTGCTGCATCTCTCCTGACAGATTTCTGCAGTTCTTCCAGTGTCTAATTTCAAATTTACAAAATAACTATGCAAAAATAAATTGTCATTTTATTTCCTCCTTATGCTGATGCAAAAATTTGTGATTTAAAAGAGATAAGTACTTCGGTCTGGCAAAATTAAGATTTCCATAATTGCATCCTTACTTAGACTTTCTCGATCAATCTCCGTATTTTCGTAGTATAAAAGAGGAGTGTTATTTTCACAAAACCTAATTTTGCTCCAGTACCAATGCGTGTTAATACTGCTGCTTGGGGAGTAGTTTTATCTGCCATCATTCCGGGTAACACCTGCTTTTTTTTTTCAGGTTCTAGGAGAGAATCTGTTTTTTTTCAGGTTCTAGGAGAGAATCTGTTGTGGAGCTCACATCATCAAAGCATTTTTAAAGGAGACTGGAGTAGTAGTGTAATAATTAAGTTTGTGTGACAAGAGTAAGACACAGGATGTAAAGGCTGAGGATCCTCCAGCATGGGACCTGGAGGACATCCTCACACATTTCTGTGTGGCACGAGGAGTGTGTATCCTGACAAAAGCAAGGAAATGAAGGGACTTCACTTCTAAAACTGCTATTGTGTAAAATCTTTTTTTCCTGCACTTCAAAACCATTTTCACTCTTTAACTATTTCTTAATTGATTTTTTTGAAAAGTGCAATTAACTTCAGAAAACAATAGAAAATAAAGCTGTTGGAAATTTCTGAGTTGATTAACAATAGGAGAACATATTGGCTTTCTAATATTTACAGATATTCCTCCCTTTTTATGAGAGAGAAAAATATCACCAAAGACATCAGTCAGGATTAGAAAAAATGTTGAGAAAGTTTGAAATGAAGTTTATTCAAAGTGGCTAGGAGGAAAATGCTCCTTTATGGTAAAACATAGCTTCTGTAAAATAATTTTAGCAGGAGATACAATCAAATTCCTTGCAGGGCGTTTTCTACTTGGGGGGAAACGGTGAAAAGTGTGCAGTAGATAAGAGTTCTTCAGTGTCAGGACCCAGACCAGAGGTCTTACAGCCTTAACATGTAGAATCATAACATTCTACAGAAAAAATGACTTCCCCCTGCTCTTTTTTGTCTAATCCAAAATAGATGACACTCACAAAGCAGCGTGCTGTGCCCTAAACTTTGTGTTCTCACCACCTACCCAGGTAGGCATATTTTATTTTCAGTTCCCTTCATTTTACTTCTTAAGGATTCACTCAGGAGACACTGTTAATGTTGACGAAGAGCCTGGTGTCACTGAGCTCATGCTGATAAAGACAGAAGAGAGACAGGCTGTTCTGAAGCTTGTTTGAAGATTAAATACATCTTACATCTAGACTGGAAGGTTTTGACTTTGAAACCATGAGAAGGTGCAGTGACTCAATGTGAATCAGAGATGAGGCAGTCATAGCTGCCTTCCAGCATTAATGAGCATTAATCTGGGATGTGTTATACAAACATTTGCCTATTTCTAATGCAAATTAGGTTCTCCAAGCAATTACAGTTATAAAAATAATATTTGGAGCAAGAGGGTCTTAGAGTTATTCACATTATATGGACATCATGTCATCTTTTACCTGTCAAATTCCAGCCGGTATTCAAAGTAAAGAATTGATTTAATTTGTTTGAAAAGTTAAAAATGTAAGAAGTAGAGATTGCAGTAAAATATCCAGTGAAAGTCAGCACTGGTGTAGTGCTGTGTTTTCATCATCTACCTTATTAAATTCACAATACCTTTTGTCTCTATCTATGAACCAAAAACTGGAAATAAAGACTCCCAATTTTTGTTGGTATGAGCTAGAAAAAATAATCTTATTTGTATTGCTGGCTACAGAGGATTCACTGTTGAATCTTAAGTGAATATCAAGCTTTGAGGGCAGGGTATCAGCTCAAACACAAGCAACAAAAATATAATTCTCCTTTATTGACAACTAACATATATGTAGTACTATGTGATATCAGAGTGATAATTCTGCACAGCAGATGCTGAAGTAAGATGCCAGCCTAGCCAGCCATTTTCATTGTGCATTCGCTCTAAAGACCACCCACTCCATGCTATCAGATGCACACAGGTTTCATGGATTGATATGCAATTGCTTGCTATTTCAAAGAATAAGCAATTTGAGAAGTTCCTGCTGTTCCTAATTACCTCTCAAGATTCAGGTTTCCTCTAACAAGAGATTTGTGTCAACCCTTTTTTGTGTTGCTCAGCATTCTTCAGAGCAAATTAAGCCCTACATACAACCTTGTTTTGTTGCTGATTTTGTTGTGCTCTTCACAAGCCTCTATGACAGTCCTTCATTTTGCCGAATTGTGGGGTTGTTGCTTGTTTGCTTTGCACAAAAATGGTTTCTTAAAAGTATAAGGTGTTTGTGTATGTCATACTTCTCCTTTACTTGTGTCTGATTAATTGTGACAATATTAGAAGTAGTCATTAAGTTTCTGTGTTTACAACTGTTTGTTGTCTTCAGATTACAATCTCACCTCCTTCCTTGCAGCCATGACAGAAGTTGGTTTTTGGATCCCATTCAGCTCTGCGGTGTCAGCCAGGCATCCCAGGCTTTCTCTGCACAAGGGAACATCTCCTTGGCCAGCCTGAGCACTTGTGGAACAACCTTACAGAATTCTAAGCAGGTCCCAAGGTCTGTATAAATACACATATTTATTAGGTTTCTATTCTTGGAATGACCCAGAA